TTTTCTTGTTGCTACAACTGTGCACTTTTTTTTCTTTTATTTCCAATTTTCCTACTATTGTCTATTATGATATCTCCTTTATGAATATAGTTAAAATACATAGTTGACTAGCTTTTCAGTCAAGGAAGCAATATCCCCAATAGAGTTTTTATTTTTAAATTTTTTTTTCTGTATTTGTGAGTGATGGTAAAGATACTTGATGTGTTTCACATTTGCGTTCTCTCTTTTGGAAGTTTTTTTTTTTTAAATAAAAAATATGATATGATTCATTAATTCACAAGTATCAATGCAGTGCCAACACATGTACAAAAAATGTTTACATGTCAATTAAAATATCAATAAGGTCCTCAGAATTAACATGTAGACCAAAATCTTCTTTGAGATTTATATGATCCAATTCATCCATCCATGATGTTTTTGTTATAATTATCCTGTTTGCCGATGAGTATCTATAGTTTTCATTTCTGGCCTCAAGTGTTTATCTTTCTTTCTTTCTTCTTTTTTTGTTCTATTCCGGAAAGATGATCTAGGAGCTTGTTAATATGTCGCTGTTTGATTGATTTGCATTGTACCCTTTTTGTTGATGGTGGCCTGGAATGTGACAAATATGCCAGTGGCTCATTTTTATGTGCAAAGTTGATCTTGCAAGTTTTATCCATCTGAGGGATTTAATTGATCTGATGCTATTGTTTATATTATCCATGTGGACTTTAGATTTTCCACAAACTGCTGATGGAAAGCTATTTATACTGTATCTTGTAGACAGAAAAGGTTGATCTGGAAAATACAGTAGTTGATGAGAGCCAAAGGCAAGTTGGTGATCAAGGGGTTTCTAGTCAGTTGCGGCTTGACAAATCTAGTGGTAAGTCATTTACTCATGTTGGTTTCATAACAGTTGGCCATTTTTGGGTCATTACCATGGAATGAGAGCCTGATTAAGGGGTGTTACCTTTCTTTTTACACTTTGATTGTTTTCTGACGTAATGGACAGTCTTTTTATCTTAAAACAAAAAGAACTTGTATCAGAGTAAGAACCACACATGATTGTCTGAGTTGAAATTTACAGCTCATTCTAGTATGATGGATTGAAGGATGCCTTTGTTATGATAACGGATATGTATCCTGATGTAGTGTTCACATGCATTTTAGAAATATAAATTATTTGGATCTTGTGAAAATACTTTTATTGTACAAGTCAAAACACATAAATTGACTTGCCTAAAATATTTGCACACAGCATTTTATATTTCATATTGATGCACTGTTTGCTCATCAGTTGTACCGATTGTAACTTGATGTATTCTTTTCCTCCATTTTTTCAGAAGGTAGTGTAACCGAGTCAGATGATGACAATGAAAGAGTAGATGCCGCAGAGGAAGAGACCGACGATGAAGAAAATACATTTTTTGATACTCGTGACTTTCTGTCATCAAGTTCATTTAAAAGTAGTGGATCTGGTTTTAGGACATCATCCTTCTCTTCAGATGAAGAAGGGTTTACTGTAGTTGAGTCTGAAGACGATGTGGATCCTTCAATTAGATCCGTTGGGTTCAACTATCCTTACATTAAGCGCCGTAAAAAATTGCCTGATCCAATTGAGAAAGAAAAAGGTGTCAGTCTTTGGTCGATGATCAAGGATAATATTGGGAAGGATCTCACAAAAGTTTGTCTTCCTGTTTACTTCAATGAGCCCCTCTCTTCTCTGCAGAAGTGTTTTGAAGATCTGGAATATTCATATCTCCTTGACAGAGCGTATGAATGGGGAAGAAGGGTGAGTTTGTGCTAGGAATTGATGGTGGTTGTTACTTCTATATCAAATTGACTTCGTAAAAGGTCTTAGTCGGCTAGGTTTCTTGCATGCTATTGGTTTATCAAAACATTCTTTGCACTTTTTGAAGTCTGTGTATTTTTGAATGATTTTCTACCCTCTCATACATGAAAGACGAAAAAAATTTATTCATTCTGGTAATTAAATAAAATTAAATATTTTGGCCATTTGGAGCTTGAAGATTGAGCATTAGTTGAATCCTGCCCATTATGATATCGGTCACTTAAGCAGTGTATTCATCCTCTGGCCACCTAGAAAAGCTAAAATCTATACATTATTAGACTCTTTGATGCTTGTGGAACATTCTTCTTGTTACTGTAGATGCTTTGGGGCATATTTTAAATTTGTGATTTCTTTATGAATGCTAATATGCTCTAGTCTAATGCAGCAGAATTTTTATTGCTGTTATTGCTAATTTGCTGCCAAGTCTTGTGTCTTAGGAATCTGCTTAATTAGCTTTCTTCAGTTATATCTCTCTCTTATCTTCTCTTAAAAAAACACAAAACACATTTACATCTAGAAAAAAATATGGGACCTGATAGTTTGTTGCATAGGCAACATATGGATTCTTCTGAATTTATAAAATAACTATTGACAAACCTGATCAGTTTTTCCTGCAAAAATTATCTACTCCATTCTTTTCTATAATTTCAAGATGAAATTGCTTATGTTTATGTTTCAGTGGTTATTGTTTATGTCTATAAATGATGAGGCTTGCAATACGAGAATGCTTTAATCTTTTTGGCACTCCCTTGAACATTTTGTTTCCTGAAACTTTTCAGGGTAATAGCCTCATGAGAATTCTTAATGTGGCTGCTTTTGCTGTATCCGGATATGCTTCAACTGAAGGAAGAATTTGCAAGCCATTTAATCCATTATTAGGAGAAACCTATGAAGCAGACTATCCAGATAAAGGCGTTCGGTTTTTCTCTGAGAAGGTTCCATGTCTTCACCTAGTAGTTTGATAACATGTCTAATGAGGTCTTTTTTTTTTCTGGATTTTTGCATTTAAAGTATGTTATTGTTCCAGATCCTTACTGCCTAAACTTGCTCCGTAAAAGAAAAAACTTTTTGAACTTCAACTGAAAATGGCCTGATCCTGTGTGATATGCTTATGTTTAAACCCCTATTTACAATTTTCTGATTAACTTACCAATTCAAAGTACAAGCCAATAGATTTCCTAATATCTTATAAATATGAATTTATGGACATTATACGCATTTAATAAGTCATTATATGCATTTTTGGACTCAATATTTGACATTGCCACTGCTGCCGAAATCATACTGATGCTCACCGGATTAATTAGAAGCATTGGAGAAGTTTGGACCCGGAATCTTATATCTAATTAGATGTGGACATGATTTTTGATGTCAGTAATGGTCGGAAGAGAATTCAGATTCAATATTTTGTATTTCTTTCTTCGACTAGAAGGCATTAGGAGGATTTTGTACTTTTTCTTCTGGTCCTGGGGGAAGGGCATAATGAATAGATGTAAAAGGTAAGATTGCGAGAAAATCTAATGTCGAGGATGTTTTTGTGAGCACCAACATGAATCCGATAGAGATATCCAAAGAAAGTAAGTGGTCTTTAAAGGAAGACATCTGCAAAGTTAATGAGCTTAAAATTAACCTGCTAGCAACTTCTGGAACAAAGAACTCATAGGCAGATTACTGGTTCTTTTTTTCGGGCAATTTGACTTTAATTTTGTTGGACTGATACAATCATAGAGTTGATGCAATTATAATGGTCGGTGCAGTATTCATTTTTTTCATCTTTCTTAGGGGTGGCATTTTGTGCCATTATCCCAATATAGCTTTTATGGCTCTGTTTGATTTCCCCAGCCATTCCTTGCAATTACAAAATGGCTGAGATTGGTTTCATTTTTGTTCAGGTTAGTCATCATCCAATGATTGTAGCATGTCACTGTGAGGGCACTGGATGGAAATTCTGGGGGGATAGCAATCTGAAGAGCAAATTTTGGGGTAGATCAATCCAGCTTGACCCAGTAGGTGTTTTGACTTTAGAGTTTGATGACGGAGAAATTTTTCAGTGGAGTAAGGTATGATGCAAATGATTTATCCCATTTAGTTTTTACTTAAATTGAAATTCTTTATGGGCCTTCAATTTTAAACATGGAAATTACTTTTTTTCAGGTTACAACATCAATATACAACCTCATACTGGGTAAGCTGTATTGTGATCATTATGGCACAATGCGCATTGAGGGCAATCGTGATTATTCATGTAAGCTGAAATTCAAGGAGCAGTCAATTATTGATCGAAATCCTCACCAGGTGCGTGGATTTCCTTTCAACTGTCTATACCCTCAGATGTGACTAGCATTTAGGCTTTAACATTGTTACCCAAGCTAATGAGGATGCAGAAATTGTGCCTAACACCAATTGAAAGTTGTCATATTGCTGTTCAACCAATTATGGAAGCTAGGAGAGCTGTGGAATCTTTTGATCAGTTTCATCTTCCTTTATTTATTTTTTTTTGTGCAGTATTCATTTGATTAGTTGCATCTTTTCTTTAGTTTCGCTGTTTTTATTGTAACATTCATGGTGTCTTCTTGAACCACTATTTTGGGGATTAAAGAGCAGATTTACCAGGTTTGAGTGGTATTCCCTGTATATTCATTGATGATGTTTTAATAACTAAAAACTTAGCCATATACATGGTCAGAGGGTTGAGAATCCAACAGTTGAAATGCTTACGTAGATATGTGGGTAGAACTGATCAGTGTAGGCCATCTTGCAAACTTTGTCAGGTTGATTTACCTTTTTTTATATCATATGCTTATTCTGGCTCAATAGCTATAGAGAGAGTGAACTTTTTTGCTTTTTTTGGTGGCAAATATTCTTATCTATTTGTTTCTTCTTGTGCTTTTTTTTCAGTAACAAATTGAAAGATTTGTTCTTTACAAAATAAAAAGAAAAAAGAACGTTTTTTTTTTCTTAGTAACAAATTTATGTTCTGGTTTTTCTCTCTCCCCCAGCATGATTTTGGCTATAGAAGATTGAAGTGATATGACATGGCTAGTACCACCATTCTTTAACTAGTAGGATGTGATAGCATAATGTGAAATCGGATATTTCCAAGTTTAAAACCACTAGTTGTCTGCATATCCAATGATTTATAGAATTAGATCTCCCACATTAGTTTTATGTGCAGTGTTTCTGGAAATATACTTGCTCTGGAAGAATAGAGGAACAGCAACTTGAACTTAATAAATTGAATTTTAAGCCTTTGAAACCACACCTTTTACCTTAATCTTTAATTATGGCCAGAACCTACAGATTTGAGTTTGCTTGTAGGTCTGGATGTGCTACACTAGCTTTTCTGTACCGTGCTTTTTGAAATGTACTTGTTGGAAAAAATATGTGCACAACAACCTCAAGTTAATAAAAATCGAATTTTAAGCCTTTAAAGTGAACCTTTTACCTTAACTCAATGTTACTAAAATTTACCCAACATAATGCTAATAATTTAGTAAGTTATATACAGCTACAAATGGCGTACACGGTTATCCATAAAAGATAATGTGTGAAACAAATTGGGAAGAACATATCGGTAGGAGTACAATAAGTTGCCTTATTTGCTATGGTTTTTGAATGTCTGGGTCGTGTGTTGAAAAACCATAGAAAACACTGTAGTTTCCTTTACAGAGAACCTCAAGGATGCATATTTATTTCAATTGACCTCTCTGTCACATTTGGTTAACTCCTGCTGGATTAACTAATTCAAGCAGTAAATAATCATTTAAGTGCTTCATGTGCTAAGATTTTTGTTGATATGACTTGTTGGGGTACTCGACCTTTTAACTTTCTGTCTGATCCATGTATTAGTTAGTGCTTTAAAACACAAAATGGGAAAGTTCAATTTTATGACATGAATGCGCAAAGGTTTATACGTTTACTCTTTCCTTTACTGATTTTTTTTTCTATGTACTAAGAAAAGAGTGTGAAGATGTAGTAATAGAATTGAATAAGAATTATTATTTCTCTCTATGTTTTTTAAGTTACTATCATTCACCATTAGCGATTTTGCGAAAGTTAACCGTTGTCTTTTTTTCATCAGGTCCATGGTATAGTTCAAGATCAAAATGGAAAGACGGTGGCAACCCTATTTGGAAAATGGGATGAAAGCATGCATTTTGTTTATGGCGACTGTTCAGGGAAGGGAAAGGGACACGAGTCTCTCTCAGAAGCCCATTGCCTCTGGAAACGAAGCAAGCCTCCTGAATTTCCAACTAGATATAATTTAACACGCTTTGCCATCACATTGAATGAGCTCACTGCTGGGCTAAAGGTGATTTTTGTGTCAAGCTCGCTGCAATATTCCAACTTTGCGTGCACATCTTATTTTGAACTAAATGGTTAGAGGGACCTGAAATGTCCCTCTTTTTTGGCTTGAGAGCCTGAACTGTGATGTGTTTTTTTTAATATGTTCTCACCTGAAATGTGCATATTTGCATTGCGGTGCCTGAGACGTGGACACATACTGTGTCTGATGGATAAATGGAATGGTTTCACTTGAATTCACCATGCTGATGCCTGCCCCTTTCTTTTTTAAAGTTCACGTTTGTTTTGAGCGATGATTCCCAATTCGATTTTTATATGCAGGAAAAATTGCCACCTACTGATTCAAGGCTTAGACCAGATCAACGGCATTTGGAAAGTGGGGAGTTTGAAATGGCAAATTCAGAGAAATTGCGCCTAGAACAGCGGCAACGGCAGGTAGGTCATCTAACAGTGAACCTAAAACAAAAATTTTATTTTGAGTAAGAACTCGTACATTTTAATAACTAATGACATTAACACACTAATAACAATACAGTCAACTTCATAACAAGAAAACAACACAATTGATCTCTTAATGGGAACTTACAGGAGACACACATCCTGATTTAAATAACACATCCTCTTAGAGAGTGATAAAACTACCAGTCATCCAGCTGGAAGAATTGGTCAAAGCACACAAATTTGAGTCATGCATCTAGGTGCTTGAGTTTATTATGCCATCATAAAATCAAGAGTAGCATTTAGTCCACTTGGATGGCTTATTTAAGGCCCATATATATGTTATGCATAAATAATGAGTTAAGGCCTACGGAACAAAATAATACCATTTTTAAAATGACTTGGAGAATGATGTAGGTGTCCGTGATCTGAATTATAACAAGCGTCAGTTAGGTTGAGAATAATGTAAGATAGCGAAACAATGGAATAGATTGATTAGAGAAAAAAAAATAGGATAATTGTCTAGAAAAGATGGAATCCTGGTTGGTTTTGTTAAGGGTACTAACAGGATCTTGTATTGGTGATTCAGGCACGGAAGATGCAAGAGAGAGGTTGGAAGCCTATGTGGTTTGAGAAGGATAAAGGAAGTGGCACATACCGTTATATCGGCGGGTATTGGGAAGCCAGAGAAGAGGGGAAATGGGATTCATGTCCGGACATTTTTGGCCAAATTCCTTCGGATCAGATGTTAGACTGAATTGAAATATTACATTTACCATGCTTTCTAATTCTTTTTTCCTTCCCCTTTTCTCCATTTTTTACGGGGTAGTGGCAAAAGACTGCTGATATGAGCAGTTGGAAAGGTGCCTCTCCCGTGTTATCCTTGTAAGTGAAAGTAGAAGGCGTTTGCAGGTAATAATAAAAGAGAAATTTTTTTTTTTTTATGTTTCCTTGTCTTCCAGTTTCGGAACCAGTAACCTGCAAAAGTTAAATGGCTTTTTAACCAGAACGGGATCAATCCAAAAATTATACCCTCACTTCACCTTACTAAACCATATGGAATATCAACTTAGAACTCTACATGAACGCGCCCCCTGAATGAATTGATATCAAATAAATTAGTGGTGATAACCTATGGGGGGAATTCAGCCACGAAGCAACAAGGCTGAAGTTGGCTAAACATGGATTATGTACATGGGTTCGCTTTATTTTTATGGGAATTTTTTAGTGTCAATTGACTTTTTTTTACCATCACATTAGCAGACATATATGAGAACTTTTATATCAGCAAGTAACGAAGAGGATATCATTGTCTCGCCGTTAGATCTTCAAGCATATTTATATTAGTACCGGTTAAAATAAACCTTTTGAAGTGACTCCCTCCACATCCCAACAAATAAAAATAATCGTCTTTTATTTTGTTCACTTGAATATGATAATCAATTTTATAGAACTAAAGATTGAGATCATTTGTAAAAACACACTCTTAATTTGGCCTCCAAAATAAAAATATGTAGTCTTTGTAAACTACATATGTTAGGTTGGTTTCAAGTATCAACACACGTTATCTTGCTTGTCTCTTAGCAGAACCTCTATCTCTGTCTCTTCACATTTAATTGAAGCCTCTGTAGTTATTTGTAGAGCCAAAAAGCTTAAACCAGCTTTCCACCACGAGACCCCTTCCCTCACCCAAAAGGAAGTTCATTTTTTAGGTCTTGTTTGTTTGTACACTTGTTTATTTCTCTTTCAAAATAGTTTCAATCAAGGATAAAATAGTATGAAGAGAAATTTATTCTGATAATAAAAGTTCTGTAAGTTAGAGATAATACAGAACGCATTATACATATATGTGGTAGTTGTTAGCATTTGAGCCATTGTTGAGCGTGGTTTCTATTTACATATAAGCCGCTATGAGCTTTCTGAATAATAGAGTCTGCCATTATTCACCATGGATTGATATCTACCCGTTGCCAGGATATTTATAGGCTTTTTGACCCGTTTTTAGCACCTTTTGTATCCAACAAAATCCTTTCTACAGTTTTTTATTTTCATTTTTTAAAAAACTTTTTTGGGTTTTGTAAAGCTTTGAACCCATCAAACTTAATTCTTCTCTCTCTCTTATATAAACAATGACGTAATGGGTATTTGTATATTGATAGAAGAAATAACAGCTCTAGCTATACAGCTTGAGCCTGATACTACAACGTTTTTTGTTTTTTAAAATTTGTTAATAAATTTGCTGGTTCTCTGTTTTCTGTTCTTTGGATGATAGATGATGATGATGGATGGATGGGTGACCCAACAGAATCCATATCCCACTACCTGCAAAAAGAAAACACAATCTTAACCGTCCAATCAAATCTTGACCAATCAATCAACGCCCCTTAAACTGAGGGGACCCGTCCAATTCAACCCATAACTCAACGGATGTTTTTTGATGACGCCCTTTTACATCACATTTTTCCAGAGCCTAATCTTTAGCATCCTCTTAGTTTCTCATGGATTCTGGTGTCAATTGCAAGGAAAAAGGTGATGGGTTTTCTTTCTTCGTTTAACTACAGACAGAGCTGTAGAGGCGGCTAATTGTGACTCTCCATCAGCTCAACTTGTCACATATTTGCTTCCCTTCTTTTAGAATCTTTTTATTACCATCATCTCTTACATATGTACATATATATATATATATATAAATTTATTGTTAACATCAATTAGGGTTTTGGTGGGTGTTAAGTAAATAATTTTTCTTTGCATGAATCATATTGCTCTCCATCTATCTACATGTGGTAGGACAGCAATCAAGTTTGTTAAGTTATTATAATGACAAAGACAGTAATTAAATTGACAATGAACACATCAAACTCAATTTGCCAAAAAGAATAAGAATCCAATTTTATCAAAACTAAGTATTTAAAACATATTGTTTTAATTCTACTTTATGAACCCAATTTTATTATCTTTACGTTGGCTTTAATTTTAAAAACCATAATTTTCTAATAAATTGCATAAAAATTCTTAATCTATATAGTAAAAAAATTATTCAGAACTAAAACCTTAAAAAGTACTACATGGGTGTAAACGAGATACCCTTCAAATTTTTTGGGCCAGAAACAAGAATAAAGAGGGAAGAAAGTAGTGGCGTAAAGAGGAAAGCGTGAGGGAGTAGTAGTTTGTTTAGTAAGGACGAGCGAGAAGAAGAAGAAGAAGATGATGAAGAAAAGCGACGAGGTAGAGAATATTCACAGATCCTCATAGAAGCATAAAGGGAATATCGTATGTATTGTGTGTGTGTATATACACATATTTACAGTGCGTGTAAGATATTGTTTTTGTAAACAAATAAAAAATAAATAAATACAAGATGAAAACTATTACTACAAGAAAGCTTTTTTCTTTTGAAAGAAAAATTAAAATTTTAGGGAAAACCCAGAAAAGAAGGTGGGTGGGGAGGTGAATTTTTGTAATTTAAATTTAATTAAGTTTGAAGGGGAAAACGACAAAGGCCGAGGCACACAGCTATTTCTGAAAATTTGCAGGCAATTCAGTTTTTGCAGAGACCATCTCCTTAATTCACATTTTTCCCTCTTCTTCTTTTCTTACCAAAATCTAATTCAAACAAAATATTATTTGGGTCATCACGTTAATCACTTTCCCCTGTCAAGAATTAGAAAATGAGAAGTCAAAATGATTTTCTAGGGAGCACCTCAGATTACTAACTTGCTGCTTGGAGCAGTAACCTTGAAATCCTTAATGTATGTACATATATATATATATATGTATATATTTGTCAAATTTTGAATTTAAAATATATATTTGATGAATTAATTATGAAATAAACGGGGTCGAAAAGCATTTATTACAAATATCTGGTGGAGATAAAAAAAGAAACGGCGTGTTAGACATTAACGGACTACGCACGTGCTGGGTGGGTCAGTTGGAGCGCGTGAACCCACCGCCCAACCTGTCCTCACCACTCAAAAAAAAACCCCCCCATTTAATCTGATCGATTGCCGTATTTCAATTTCTCAATTTCTCAAATTTCTCATTTTTGGGGGAAGGGAAATTTGTTTGTATATATAATTTAGGTGTTTGTATATATACTGACAACAAACCCCCCCAACTGCCTTGTCCTTTCCTCTTTTGTTAATTTATCTTATTTTTACTTAATCCTATTTAAGATGATATTAATAAAATGCAATCATGGAATCGATGATACTAATAAAGAATATTCAAAGATTAATCATCGTATTCTCCTCTACCAACTATTATATTTCTTCCACTTATTGCTTCCTGGGCTTTTTACTTACACATATACATACATACATACATACATAGATACATACATATAATCAAATATAAAAACCCAATAAATTAAAATTCTCTCAACAAACTTTTTCAAACTCAATTTATTATATTAATTGATTACTCTTTTCAAATATGGTATTACCCCAATATATTTACAGAGGAAAACAAACAACCAAAGCATATTATTTACTTACTTCTTTTTCAATCTACTGTCCACACATGTACGTGTTTGTGCATGTCGTGTATACTCTAATATTTGGTCACATACACACGTGTAAATAACTCATAGGCGCTTATATGTGGAGATGTAAGTAGTAAGGCAACTCTTACAGAAGAGTTTGAATGTATTGCAATCATGGACTTGACATTACAGTATGGATGCATATTATATTATATACATGGAAAATAATATATTAAAAACAGATTCAACGATGGGCATTATATACATAAGATATCCTTAAAAAAATAATTAAATAAAAGGGTATATATCGTATACGTATATAGAGATTATAAATTCGTGGACGGTTACCAAAGTATTAATTAATTTATAAAATCAAAAACTTGTATTTTAATATATTTTTTAAAAAAAAAAAAAAAAAAAATTAGATGATAAGAAGGGATTACTTGATGATGCATAAATACGTAAAATAAAATTTGAATTTAATTAATTAAAAAAAGTTAGATGGGTCCCAGAAAATTGGTAAAGAGAGAGAAATGATTGGGCAATTGGGGCGTGGGTTGGCAATCCCATCATCTACGGCCAAAAAAATACAGCAAGTTACGTGGCAACATCAGGTGGAAGGCACAGCCGGGGGAACACGTCCAAGGTGGTGTCCTTTGAATGGTCGATGTGGCAACGTCGCATGTCGGACTCTTCGAAAGCGACGTCGTTTAAGGTCCCACTCCACTCTCCACTCCACTCCACTCCGCACCTCCCAACTGTAAAAGCGACTGTTTGGCTTCATCTTGGCAAAATAAATCTGTTTTTTTTATTCAACCAGAACTCGAGTCATTACAAGAAAATTATAATAAATGATGAGTAACGCATTTGATAATATTTCGTATTTATTTTAATTAATAAATAAATATCAGTCGTCGAAATTGATAATTAGGGATTAGTGTTATTAATTTAAGACCAATTAATTGGAGAACACGACTTAAATGTACGCGTAATCAGAGTATGTGCTGATCCTGTAACTCTGTTTTCTATTTAATTAATTAATTAATTAACCAAGAGGAAGGATTGGGATCATTAAACAATGCTAACCGTTGTAGACTCCATTTGCCACGGAATTGTAATTTATAAAACGCGAGGTTATATCTTACTTAATGCTGACCCATCAATATCATAATAATAATATTAACGCCGTCTAGTTGCCTCTAACTCCGTCTCTTGCGACTAATAAAAAATTAATTAATGAAATTTTAATTGTATTATTATATAAATAATTATTAAAAATTCTACATAATATTTTAACTATTGAAATTTTTATAGTCTCTGCGGAAGAAGAAAATGGTAAGTGGGGACAAAAAAGCTTTACTGAGTACTACGGATGGATTTTAATTATATCTTTAAAACTATACAATGGATATTATAAATTTTGTGTATATTATTATTATTAGTCATTATGCTTGCGTCTCAACGAATACATCTTATTACATAAATTTTTTATCTTGTATATTACTTACATGTTTGTCAATTACTTGTGTGCGCGCGCGCGTGTATATATATATATATATATATATAATTCTAGTTACCTATACAATGTACTAGTGAAAAATACGTCAATGTTTTAAAATTAAGGTGGCAGTGTATGAAGAAATACACGAGGAAATTATTTATTAGCAACAAAACATTTATTAATTAAATAATTTTTTATCTCGTTATTTAATCAGGCAGCAAAAAAAACTAAAGAGCTGGAGACAGACGTACTTTGAGAATCTTTTTAAAATTATCCATTATAATTTTAATTAAAAAATTAGAGGAATCCTAATTATGTGATTAACGAAGATCTTTATTTTATTTCAACATTATGTATTTTGGTGGTTCAGATTACCGTACATATATTTTTTTTCTTTGTTAATACATGTATAATTACAATAAAAATATGTAAGTAGGGGCAATAAAATAGGTGGATTAATAAGCAAAATATTAATTTTGGTTATTGTATTATTTTAAAATAATTTATTTTATTATTAACGTGGTTTATATTAAACACTACGTATTCGACGACAATATAATATATGACAGTGAAATTTTTGATTCCTACAACATAAATTAGTTTAATTAAAAAAAACTCATTAAAATGAAAAGATCAAAGAGTTCGCTGATTCAAACTCTGAAACCTCAAATTTCCAAATTCATTGTCTTTTCCTCCTCACATCTCACTGCAGTAATGGCTTTCATCTTCGTGCTCATTCAAGACAATGTCTAAATAAATAAATAAAAATGAACTTTCCTCAATATTTATTTATTTATTATTATTATTTTATTTTTACAATATATTTGTATATGACTCCCTCGATTTTATAATAACTTTTTTTGGGCATTAAAATTGAAATTTCAAACTCTTTTACACTATTAAGAACTTCTTGAATAATTTATTTTTCTGACTTTTTCTTTTTCACTAATGACTGCAGTATTTTATTTATTTTTAATAATAAAAATATATATAATATTATCGGTCGGTCAGTGTGAATTTTAATGAAAGCTTGAAAATACATTAAAAAAAAAAAATTACATTAGAAGGATCAAAAACTCTTCATGCTGAGCAATTGCATTATGGTTATCGCCCAACACCCAATTAAAAGTCATAAACAAATACTCATCCCGGCAAACTCGAGCTTCGTTGAAAATTTATGCAATAATGTTTTCCTTTCCTCGTCGTGCCTTTTTCCAACGATTCTTTCTTCAACAAATGACAACACATGTCTTGAAGTCATCTTTGATAATAACTCCAACAAGAGCTCGAGGAGGAATAAGATGTGATTTAAGAATTTAGAGTTTTCGAGTTAAAATCAATAAACCAATTTTGTTATTGTTTATATGAATTAGTTTTTTAATCAAATTGATTTATATTGGGGAATCAAAAAATATATTTACACGTTGTGGTATTGAACATGTGGCATTTAATGTGAATAATGATCATTCAAAATGTATCAAATATGATTTACGAGACAATTTTACTAACACCATAATAATCAGACTAAACTAATGATTTACATATTTTTTTAATAAATTTTGGAGTTGATTTAAATAAATAAATTAAAATATACTTTGAACACTTTCTATAAGCTTAAGGTAAAATAAAATAGTATGACTAAAAAATTAAATAGTATAGAAACTTATAAACTATTTTAGCATAACTCATTAGGCATGTATGTAAATTGATTTTATATAATTTATGATGAATTTAGATTTTTATGTTTAAAATATCAATAATAACCTGTTTAAATGAATTCACACTTTAAAAAAAATCATTTTTTTATATTAAAAATAATAAAAAGAAGAGGATAAGAATTAAAAAGCAGAAAAATATTTGAACCAAAAAAAACTAAATCGTGCTTTTCATATAATAATCAACCGGTTTTATTGGGTTACTTTTGTTAGCTTCTAGATATTTATTCCTTCGTCACAAATATATAGTAAATGTTAACTTAATTATATGAAAAAGTAAATAAATTAAAATTAATTTCAACCTATTAAATATTATTAATAGTGCAATAGTAAATATATATTATGTTATATTAAAAAAAAAAATTATTTACGAGATAATTAAAAATTAAAAAAAGAGAACGTAATAATAATAATAATAATAATAATAATAAATCATATCTCTGTCATTTGAAAAAGTTAATTTCTTGAACTGCAGTGTTGATATAATGGGGGAAGACGTTAATTACTAAAAGTATGATTAATGAAATTATTAAATATGAAATTACGGTTAATTAATTAGGATTGAGCCAAAAATTGTCTGTCACGATTCTTCTACAAATGCTTTGTAGTGCATTGAGATTGACGTGGATGTCTCCAATTGCCACGTGCACAAATTTCACCATCTTCGGTGTGTGATTTAAACATAATACTAATAATAATAATAATTAATAGAGAATAAAATATTAATGGTGTGATTAATAATTAATTAAACATATATCCTCATGGATTATGGTGCTAATTGTTAAGGTTGTCATTAATTGGTGTGTTACAAGACAGGAGGGCGTTGTTTGGATTAAACAAAAAAAGAGAGTGGATGTGGGGGGTTGTCTTTCAAATCCTATGGATTGGGATCCAATGAGGGTTTTCACTTTGATCAATTACCAAACAAAAAAAGCTCTATTATGACATGCCTAATTACGAGATCAAAATCATATATTTCTTCACATTTAAATTTATATATATATTTAAATATTTAATCGGCATATTTTTCAATTAAAATTTAATATATTAACCGAATTGAAACTTAAAAAATATATATATATATATATACACTCAAGAATATTATTCTTACATAAAAAAAAACAAAATTATTATTAAATTATTTTGTTTGGGTCAAAAAATTAAATAAAAAAAAGCACTTTCTATTTAATGGTTGGTTGATATTCAAATTGGAGGATTGACAGACTTCACTTAAATGGGTCATGGCCGCACTTAAAAATTAGAGTTGAATTACGGAAACGTTTTATGGTGTAACCACGTTTGACAATGATGATAAAGAAGAGTGAGATTTATTTTTACTAATAATGTTTTCCTTGGTTTATTAATCCTGATTATTTTAGCAGAACAAAAACTCTAATTATAGAATGTAAAATCCACCTACCAAAATGTGGGATTTACAATTTTAATTTTTTTTTAATATAAAAAGAATCAAATAAATCTTCAAACACGACACTGCTAACTGTAAAACGCAGTCTATGGAATTAGAAGCAGAGAAGGGACAGGGGGAGAGGACCACAAGAAGAAAAAAAAAAAAAGGGGGGGTGGAACGACGCCATTAAGAATGGCATTTGTGTAATTAAGTGGAAAAGGGAAAGGGCAAATTGGATGAGAGAGTAATTTACGTAGTTAGACTCAGTTGCATTTCCTAGGCGATCCCGTCGAGTCACTATGAAAATCCAAAGAGAAGGTAGATACCGCTGTTAGTCCCAAGAAAAGAGAAATTAACAGTGAAACACGAGGGCATATTCGTCATCCAAAATATATGCGAAGATGGAAAAGTAAAATAAAATAAAATCACTTCTCTTGTATTGCAGCAACGTTCCCTAGGCAAAAGCCGGCTCATTACTCTCTCTAATTTTAATTTATTTTTAAATATATATTTTTTTATTTTTCAGTTTCTCTCTCTCTCTCACACTCTATCTTCTTCTCTTTTGTGTGCTTGTGCTGTTTGTGTTAGCAGGATTCCCACCTATTTTCTCCCAAAACAGAAAGCACTTAAAGAGAGAGAGAGAGAGAGAGAAAGAGAGATAAAGGGAAAGGTGTAGAGAGAGAAAAGACAAGAGAGGCGGAAGAAGAGAGATTTCTAGAGAGTGAAAGCTCCCAAAGGAAAGTAAATCCACCGGAAATGACTCTCCCCGGCGAATCCGTTCCCTCCCTTAGTCCAGACAAAATATTTATTGACCAAATATAAATGAAATCCCTTCCAAAACACCAGATTCCCCATTTTTTCTCTCACGACACCCACAAACAAATGCAGTGATAAGACCTAAGAGATTAGTATTAGTTGGATTAGAGAGGGCAGATATACGAGGGACGGAGGAGAGTGGGTTTTTTTATGAGTCGAAAATGCGTGAAGCTTTAGTGGTTGATGAGCCCAGCGACGTAGCATCCTGCACCAAGAAGAAGAAATCGGAGGAGGATTTCAGCAAGGACCAGAAGCAGCAGCAACTACACCAAGAGGAAGAAGATCTAATATTCGCTCCGGCTCCGGTGGTTCGGACCCGATCCCAGGCCGCTAGCCGCCGTGTCACACCCACGACCTCTCTGGTTCCCTGGAGCGGTCCCGGGGCTACCGTAGCTTCTGGGTCGTCTGGTACGACGGTTGAGAAGGTCCTTCCTAACGGGGATCTCTACATGGGGAGCTTCTCGGGAAACGTACCGCACGGATCGGGGAAGTACCTGTGGAAGGATGGATGCATGTATGAGGGAGAGTGGAAACGTGGGAAGGCATCGGGCAAAGGCAAGTTCTCGTGGCCATCAGGCGCAACCTTCGAGGGGGAGTTCAAGTCTGGGAGGATGGAAGGTTTCGGCACTTTTATCGGCTCCGATGGCGACACCTATCGCGGCTCCTGGAGCGCTGACCGCAAGCACGGCTACGGCCAGAAGCGGTATGCAAACGGTGACTACTACGAGGGCTCCTGGAAGCGTAACCTGCAGGATGGCCAAGGTCGGTACGTCTGGAAGAACGGAAACGAGTACGTCGGTGAGTGGAAGAACGGCGTCATTTCCGGCCGAGGAGTCTTGATATGGGCCAACGGCAACCGCTATGATGGACAGTGGGAAAACGGCGTGCCGAAGGGCAACGGAGTCTTCACCTGGCCGGACGGCAGCTGCTACATTGGAACGTGGAATGAAGACAATGTTAAGATTCAACAGCTAAACGGCACGTTTTATCCCGGCAGCAACGTGGTAACCAGTAACAACGGGAATGGTGCAGGCAGGGAGTGTTGCCTGAAAGGGATCGAGGGTAACAATCTGATGGTGACTGCAACAAGAAAGAGATCATCCGTTGATGGTGGGAGGGGGAGCTTGGGGGTCGAGAGGAATTTCCCCAGGATTTGCATATGGGAGTCCGATGGAGAAGCTGGGGATATTACTTGCGATATAATTGATAATGTGGAGGCATCCATGATTTACCGCGAGGGGATTGCAGTGGATCGAGATGGGTTTCGGCAGTTCAGGAGAAATCCCTGCTGTTTCAGTGGTGAGGTGAAGAAGCCTGGCCAGACCATTTCCAAGGGTCATAAGAATTACGATTTGATGCTCAACTTGCAATTGGGTATCAGGTAACTTGTTTTTCCTGGTTGGTTGGATTTCTCTTGTTAATCTGTTATTGCTTTCCAGAGTTGGGTTTCATTGAGGTTATTTATGTAGGCATTCGGTTGGGAAGCACGCTTCAATATTGGGGGATCTCAAACCCAGTGATTTTGACCCCAAGGAAAAATTCTGGACACGGTTTCCATCTGAAGGATCCAAGATTACGCCGCCTCATCAATCTGTTGAGTTCAGATGGAAGGACTATTGCCCCATGGTGTTCAGGTACTGTCTCAATCTTTTTTAATCTTATCGGCAATCTTGATTGCTATTTCCGTCCACTTTTCTATCCTTGAAATGCGGAGATAACGTTATTGAATTTACGAGCTTAATATTGTTCTGGACATTTTGGATGATTGTGATTGCAACATGAACAAGAAGAAATCCGTATCTTGTGTGGCATAACCATTAGATTATCAAATTCGTTTTTGACGATTCTGGGTTTGACTGGGTTTATTTTCGTCCTTGATTTTAGGCATTTAAGGGAGCTCTTCCAAGTGGATCCTGCTGATTACATGCTAGCTATTTGTGGAAATGATGCCCTTAGGGAACTTTCTTCCCCTGGCAAGAGTGGAAGTTTTTTTTACCTTACGCAGGATGATAGATTTATGATTAAGACAGTGAAGAAGTCTGAAGTCAAGGTTAGTTTCGGCCACTTGTTTTACTTTTTCTTTCTTAAAGCTAATCTTCGTTGGCATCAGTGGCATAATTAGGGATAGACAATTAGGTTTGGTTTCTCTTCCAATTTGTGGCTTGCCTAATCAAACAAAATACTCCTGTTTGAGAGTTGGGGTAACTAGGTTGGACCTTGGACCTGAGCATTTTCTATCTTGGTTCAGGTGCTGATTAGGATGCTTCCAAGTTATTACCAACATGTCTGCCGGTATGAAAATTCACTTGTGACCAAATTCTATGGCGTGCATTGTGTCAAACCTGTTGGTGGCCAAAAGGTATGTGTTGGAGGACGCTGATTTTGATTTATTAGAGTCAAGTGGATTACTTTTCATAGAAGTTTCTCATGTTGATTAACTTCTGTTTCTGTCACTCAGACCCGCTTCATTGTCATGGGCAACCTGTTCTGCTCAGAATATAGAATCCATAGGCGGTTTGACCTCAAGGGGTCCTCCCATGGCCGAACAACAGATAAGTCTGAAGAGGAGATTGATGAAACCACGACCTTGAAGGACCTGGACCTCAATTTTGTGTTTCGTCTCCAGCGAAATTGGTTCCAGGAACTAATCAAGTAAGCTGGTTTAATGTCTACTGAATACACCTTTTTGGCAATTTTTGAAGCCCAGCTCCATTTTTTTTTTCTTTTTGGATTATTAGCATAGTCCTTTTAACATTGGTCCAAATCTTTTCAGGCAAATTGATCGAGATTGTGAGTTCTTGGAAGCTGAGAGAATTATGGATTATAGTCTCTTGGTTGGTCTCCATTTCCGGGATGATAGTACAGGAGACAAAATGGGATTGTCACCATTTCTTTTGCGTTCTGGTAAGCTTACTTAAGATTGCTTCTTTTTCTGTAATTCGTGTGTCACTTTCTTGGAACAAGTACGACTGCAGAATGACAATTTTGGTTTACTTGTGCAGGCAAGAAGGACTCTTATCAAAATGAAAAGTTCATGCGGGGTTGTCGTTTCCTCGAGGCTGAACTGCAAGATATGGATCGAGTTTTGGCTGGCCGGTAAGTTTTCACTATCATCTTTTGGTCATTCTAGTTGATTCTCTAGTTAACCGATTAACTGGTTTTGATATGATTGATTGATTAATATATTAATAAAAGAAAATACCTGAAAAGATTGAATTTTATTTGGGGTTGACTATATATATTATTTCTTATGACAGACAATTGGGAGAATATGTAGTGGTTGAACTTTGTCTTCCCGGTTTTGATGGCAATAAATGTGGCAATTATTTTTCTCAATGAATTAAATCGTTTTCATAGGAACAATTGAAAGTGGCTTGGCGATTTTGTGGAGGGTAGTTTAGTAGACAACAGTTGTTAGTGGGCCTTATGATGTGGTCCTCTGCCAAAATACTAAATAAGAACCTAGACTTTTCTAGAATTTAATTGCCATGAAGACCCAGGGTATGATTTTTATAACAACATGGGCAATCTATTTTCTCATGATTCTGATTCTGTACTCCTTCAAAGGTAAAGATAAAATTTTGTGGATTATCCAACACCCTAGCTAGATCATTCTGTAAGCAAGGTAAATCATAGAAAAAGATTGGTGAAATTGCCCAGGAGAGATGATTATTAATATAGAAACTTGTATCTTGTTTAACAGGAGACCGTTGATCAGACTGGGGGCAAACATGCCTGCAAGAGCTGAGCGGTTGGTTAGGAGGAGTGACTTTGATCAGTATATATCTGGAGGAGTAAACCATTTAACCCCTAGTCGCAACGGTGAGGTATATGAAGTAGTTCTTTATTTTGGGATCATTGATATCTTGCAAGATTATGACATCAGCAAGAAATTAGAGCATGCCTACAAATCTTTACAAGCAGACCCTAGTTCTATCTCTGCTGTGGATCCAAAACTCTACTCGAAGAGGTTCCGAGATTTCATTGGAAGAATATTCATAGAAGACAGGTAGCAGTTGGGTAAAACTAGAAGTAAAGACGGTGGCATGAGAAGGGTTATTGGTGATCAACCACATCTCAAATGAACCATAACCGAGCCAAATACAATGGTAGAACAAACATCCCTTGGTGATGCAGGTTGAGCATACAGTGATAGAAGATGAAGCCACTGGAAATTGCGGTGTGGGAGAACTCGGGGGAACGGCAAGTTAGTCTTTGGGATTGGTTATGGCTGAATTTTAAACATCAGTCACGGGTAGCTGGAAAAGGCAGGTGTGCTTTTTGTACATTTGGAAGGGAAATATGGAATTTGATTTCCACTTTTTTTTTTCTTTAAACATTTTCTTTGACATTTTTTTGGGGTGGGATTTATGTGGTAATATGAAATTGTGAAAGATTGTATAGGGAAATAGAAAATGTTTCCCAGACAAAAAAATTTGAAAAATGGGTTTAGGGGAAGGAGGAAGAAGTTGGAATAAGAAAAGTGTACAGAGATTATAGAAAGGACGGATAGTTATGCAAATTTTTGGGTGTTGAGAGATATTTTTAAAAAGGTTATATATATATATATATATATTAGTTTTTTATATTTGGAAAGTAAGAGGTCCCATGGGATCTCTCTCTCCCCTCTGTTTCGTTCACTTTCTCTGCTTTTATTTATCTTGTGTAGATAAAAATAAATGTGTAGTATGAAAATGGGGTCGTCTTGTTGCTTTTGCAGGAGGAGTTAAAGCATCAAAAGCAGAGAAAGATGCTTTTATTTACTGTTGTTCTGTTCCTTGTTTTATCGCCATTAAAATTTCCTGCTCACTTGTTTTGAAGAAGACGATGGATGGATGGATGGATGGATGTGGGAAGGGGTTTTTACAAAGAAAAGTCGACCCTTGTGGTCCCCACATCGATAATCCCAATCCACCGTCCACGTGGCAGGATCAATATATCTGTCTCTGATATTCCCCCGAAATTGGAAGGGTAATTTAGTGATTTCGGACAGCTCTTGGGAACTCGTTCTAGAAATCATATTTAATTAAATATACGAAGAAAAATTGTTGTCTACTGCAGAGGTCAAAGTCCTGCCCAGCTGTGGTGGAAACAACACACACAAGAGAGGGGGTGGTCTCTTTGACCTAAGTGCTCTTTTTGGAGGTTCTACTGTCTACTCGCTCAGACCCAAAGCACGGGTCTGAGCCTACTCTAGGGACGCCTATTGGTGGATGTACCTCACCGCTAACTTCCTCCTGCAAACGTGAAACTTAAAAAGTGATTATTATTATAACAATTTTCTTTGACTAAAAGAAGAAGAGAAAATTTCATCTGGAGTCTACATGTAGTAATTAGGAGTTGTGATTAAAGAGAGAGAGGAGGCAGATTGGGAGAAATTTTACTTTTTTGAGTTGTGAAGGCAATAAAGAACCCAAATTCAATGAAATAAAAATTAATGTAGTTTGATATTCAGTTCAAATAATATCGTAAAAAAAGACACAAGACAAATAAACCCAACTAGTTGAATCCACCAAATTTAAAAAAAAGTCACTATTTATTTTTAAAGAATTCCAATATTTTACTGGTATTATAATTATTTTGTCATAAAGTCGTAAATTAATAGCCACTATAATAACTTTAAAAAGATATTGTTTTAAGTAATAATCAAATAAGAAATGAAATAAAAATAAAAGATGATTGAGGGGATCATGCGAATATTAAATCAATTGTGTGTGTGTGTGTGTGTGTGTGATTCACATGTAGAGAAGGGGGGGAATAATAAAATTTGTCCATCTTCCAAAACTTTAAAAAAAAAAAATGAGTTTTTTTAAAGTGCTAACTAATGTCAATCCGCAAATAAGCCCCTGAGGTTATCATGAATTTTCCTTGCTGCTTTCTCGGCTGCCAAACACCTCAAATCCAAATATTAATTTGCAATGTATATAAATCATAGATTAGAATTGGGTGAGGGAGTGAATTATATTGCATTCATAAAAAGCATAAAAAGAAGAGTGTTTTAGTGAGTAAAATTCTGAGAGTTGGTACGGAAGAGATTTGTTTTTCTTGGGGAGCATTTATAATATACAAAAAGGTTTTGGTAGTGGTATTAATTAAAAGGAGGTTGTAGTGTTTGTTAAATTAAAAGCTTATGTCAATATCCCCCATAGCTGTAAACATTCAATATCTTCACCCGTTTCAGTTTCATTTGTAAAATGAATTACGAATTATTAATCGTAATTAACAATGAAGATTAGTTCCAATTAAAGAACACTTCATTTATGTAAATAAAGCCAGCCAATTTGTCATTCTCCGATTACAACACGCACCCAATCACCGCCATTAATCTTTTTCCTTTCTTATTTCTATTTCTTTCTTTTCCTAATCAATCCTTATATCACCTGATTATGTATGTATACTTAATCCTTTATACACACACACACACACACATATATATTACATGGAACTGATTTGTTCTATATATACTTGAGAGAAATGAATAGATTCTGTTATGGACATATACGCTTGGCTATTTTATCAACTGGAATCTACATTCTAAAACTGGTTTATCCGCAACCAAGAAATTTAGGAGGAAGATTCCTCATTCCCAAAAACTCAATAATCCCAACTATGTATGTAGATATATATATATATATATATGTACATGTACATATAGTTGATGGATGAGTAATTCCATGATGGGGACAAATCACATGCATGCAAAATATAGATTTAATATGCGTAGGGCATCACAAATGAAGGCTGTAATGGTCCCTCTGTAGATACATTATATCTTAATTAATTCACCACCCAAACCAAACTCGTCAATCATTCACACAAAGTGGGTTTGGACTTTGGGAAAATTGGGTCTCCCTTCATCTTCTATAACCATCAAGCTCACGTGTATGGTGTTGCAATCTCCATCCATCCATCCTTTCCCATACATATATGTATATCTCTGTGCGTGTGTGTGTGTATGTATATATAGATGTAACGCTTAGGGAGATAATATGCAAATTATATGGGCCCTCCTCTTCCTTCTATAATTTATTTCATTATCTTTTTTTCTCCATCAATTATTTTGGGTTCTCGCTATCATGCCAATCCTCCAAATTTCTACCACTTGTTTTGTCTGTTAATCATCCCACGAGGCAAAAGGATTCGTATAACTTCTCTTCACAATAAAATTGCTTTTCTCGTCCACCAAAAACAATACATAGATTAAGAAATTTAGTTTGCATAGATGAAAAGAGATGAATTGAAAATAATAAATTGGTTTTTATTAAATAAAAAATCCTCAAGGAGTTGGAGAAGCATATATATATATATATATATATATATATATATAAATGGAGAGATATATTAGGGTTGGAAGTGAATTAGGGAAATAACATGTAATGTTTTGAAAGGTACAAATATGAATAGAAGAATGAGAGAGATAGATAAGAAAGGATGAGTTCCTTTGGTCTCCGGATTCTTAAATGAGGTTGCGGCCACATGTCGGGGAATAGCCATTATCATACCAAACATATGGCTTGTTTGGAGGGAGACAACCCCCTCCCCATCCCCCTCTATTATTATCTACTTTTCACTAAAACCCACCTAATCTCCCTTCCAAATTAACTAATATCCAAAACATTATCATAATATATATACAGATATAAACCATCGTACGATGACAAACATTTGTAATGAATTTGAAGTCTCCTTTTTTGGTTTCTCTAATTTAAGTCATAGGGGTAAAAGTTTTCAGGCTACTTTTATTGGAACTTGTAGCAGCTACTATATATATATACACACACACACACACACACATATAAAACCAAGTCAAGCCCACCCTTTTTTGTGTTTTGACGAACTTACAATCAAATTTGAAATAACAGGAATAAGAAAACCAATAAAAAATTGATGTTTGTTAGTTTTTCGTAAATTTCTAAATTGAATTATAACTATTATACATCTAACAATATTACTACGACCATATCAATATAACTTATGTACTGGTTTTTGGGTTGATTTGTTTTGGGGTGAAAGTAATGGAATTATGAAGATAATTAAGAGTGTAATGGAGAATTAAAAAAGAGGTTTAATTGCTGGTAATGATGATTAGTGTCACATCATATGAGGTGCACGGTGACACGGCTGAAATAGGAGAAGGTAGGTGAGAATTGATAATTAATGGATGTAAGGAAAGGAGCATGGGCATCCCTAGTTTGATTTTTATGTTTTCTCGACATTACATTACTTTACTTGTCTACACCTTACTCTTATTATATTGCCGCTCCTACAACGTGATTTCCACTTTTACATTAAACCATGCACCACCCATCACACACAAATATTTATATATACGTATACATATACATCTACATCTACATCTACATCCACATATATGTATATATTTGTGTACTGCTTAGAGACAATACCACGTTTTCTCTTTGGCATAAGTCAGTCTTAATAAAAGATTGATATGAAAATACAGACTAATTCAAACTTGTAATTAATTTGCTTAAACTGTTAGGGACAAGATATTTATTAATGAGCTTAATCACTAAAAATTAATCATTATATATATATATATCTATAACAGTATTTAATTATTTATTAAAAAATTAATTAAAACTAAGAAGTGGGTATATTTATTACATAAAGATTAAATTACTTTTTTTTTTTTTTTTATAAAAAGAAATTGGGAGGATGATATATAATTAATTATTTACAAGCATTATATTGGGAATTAATTGCTGGTAGTCGTAACGTGAGGTGTGAAATAAGAAGAGGAGAGAGCATGTGGGGAAGTGTTTATATAGGAGGTCCAAATCAAATCCCAACATTGGGTTCCACTGTGGGGGGACACTACTACCTCTCTCAAATATTTTCTTGCCTTTTCTTTACGTTTATTTTATATTTATTAATTAAAATTCCATTATGATCTGAACTACCCTCATCTCTCTCTCTATATATATATATATATGTGTGTGTGTGTGTATAATCTTAGCAGGTATACATATACATATATACCATTAATGGGAGATTAGACAGAGTATCCTAACCTCAATTATGTTGTCTACACTTCCTAAAAGTTATAGAACAATCTTTTTATGTTCTCAAACAATATTTATCATCATATCATATCATGTCTTCTTTTTAAATATATTTACTACCTAATTATAAGTTATAAGAATTCCTACTCTTTATATGTACATAGTAATATAGATGATCCTCGACCTCTTCCCATTTCTACTTCAATTTATAAACATTTTTACAATGTGGGTATTTCCAATTTCCAAAATTTGAAGAATATTTGTTTTTAATTTTTTGAAATTTAGAGATGATAATAACAATTAATTTAATTGAAGGTGATGAACAAGCATGGCAATGAACAGGAAATTATGTTTTCAAAATCCCAACAAACGAAAGTTTTTAGAGAGGCATCTGCCGTGGACAAATGCTCGCGGAATTATATGTATGAAAACTACTGATATAGATATAAACATACATACATACATACATATATATATATATATATATCAAATAGTTGTGGCTTATATTTGAATGGTTTTACAGAAAAATCAAATAATTTATTTAAACACAGTAAAATTGATCTGGAATCAAAGAGACAGAGAGACGCGAACAATGTCGTTTTATGTTGATATTTTGTTTTCTTTTCTTTCGAAAGATGCGCCTATTTAAGTGAACAAATAATACTATGTGTTACATATACATATACATATACATATACATATATATATATGTTGAAAAGAAAATGTTCAGCATTTGCTGCTGCTGAATTCTATGGACCTACATGCTCAATTGTTTCGAATTATCAGGTGATTTTCTTGGTTCCATATTAACCTTTTTAAAAAAATATTATATATATATATATATATATATGTCATTTATTTGGTTCCATATTAAACTAAAGAGGCTGTTCACTATTGGGACTTGAATAATTCAATTCTAAAATTTAAAGTTTTCAATTTTTATTCCTTATTTAATAATTAGAAAATTCTAATTATATATATTAACAATATTATTGGATATTTCAACTGAGAGTTTGAATTCCTTCACGATGAATTTATAATTCCCAAATAATATATTTTTTTTTAATAAAAATTTTAAAATCTGTTTCTTAAAAAATTTAAGTATTGGATTATAAATAATTCATATACTATAAAATAAAGATATTGTGTTAACTAAATAAGAGACGGAGAATAAAAGTTAAGAAGTAAAATAGGCTAATATTATATAGTATTTAGGAGATAAAAAGCCCAGCCCATTAGTCCATATGTTGGGCCTCTATATATATAATAATTATTACCCCACCCAATTGAGTGTTGATGGAGAAGTGTCTCCACTCGCCCACAATTTGCCGACAAATTTTACACAAACAAAAGCTTTGAAAGTGAAAGAAGCCAACCAAACTCATAATTTATTGAATACATATATATATATATATATATATATATACATATAAACATATACGTATGGAATATAAAAGCGGTCCACCATAACCCAAAAACCATTTTGAGATGATTTAAGCTTAAGCTTCTTTAATACAATAAATAGAAATGAGAATGGTATTTTTCTTTTGAATTTTAAACATAAATGTTAATAGTTTATTTTTGATGGAGTTAGATAACATCTTTTAATTAAGTAAAATTTAACTTCAATTTATTGTAATAGCTAAAACCAAAAAGAAAAACAAAATAAATAAATAACAAGGGTGAATTATTTAAAAAATAAATAAAAGAATAGTGATGAGCTTTTTGAGGAGGAGGGAGGGAGTTGATATGGGACAAAGGGAGTTGGTCAGAAATTCGTGGGGTCAACGAAATCAAAACTGCCAAATGTGTGATTGACGAGGGCAATTTCAATTGGGTTATCCCCCAAACAAGAGAAAAAAAAGGTAGTATTAATCGATTAGATAAGGGACTTGTGTTTAAAAAAAAAAAAAAAAAAAAAAAAAAAACTGATCCACCAATATATATATATGTATATAAACAACAAATATATACACGATGTTTTTGTGTATATATTGAAATAAGTTTGTCCACAAGGCTTAGATTTCGTGCTGAGGATATTACTAATTTATGAAAAATGATAAAACTTTTTATTTTTAACACAAAATTTACTTTTACAATTATTTCATAGTTATTTCGTCTCAATATATATATATTTTTGACATCAAAATAAAAAAGCATGTGCAATAACTGATTTCAGATTAAATTTATGTCGTTGAATGAAAATTTATCTCTTTAGACAATTATTATGAAGAGATTTTGGAATCCACGGAGGAGAGAATATGAAAATGATTTATTTTATTATAGTTTGCGAAAGTTAATAGATGGACCAAGTTGATGCAGATCCAAACTTCGATTAATTGGTGTTGGGGTTATAGACCCATTCCATACAACACAGCCCACTTTCCAATTTGGGCTCCTTTTCTTTTATTTCTTTCCATTTTTCAAGTAAATATTATGTACCAGGTGTTCAAATGGTTAAAAACTACGCGAGCATATTAAGCATACACGGTCCATAAAGTATGATTATGCTCAGATGTGAATATCTAAGTCTATACTTATCAATGACCCGCAGTTACTATGAAGTTAAATAACATCTAAAATTATAACTAATTTACTTGCACATAACAAACCGAATTTTAGGATAAAAATTTTCCCAAGCTCACGAATATCAAATTTTTTTGCTTTTTCCACACGGTACTCCTAATGCTATCAGCGGATAACTCGTGAACCAAATTGTTCCCGACATACCAGCTGTAAAGCAAATGACAACCAATATTCCGCACCCATTGCAAAGAAATTACAAGGGCCAGATTAAACTAGTTCCAGACCTGACTTACCCCATCTTAACAACTCCGATCTTAAATAGTAAAACGCAAAAAGCACAACACCTACATAGAACGACCAAACATAAACTGTAATCCCACGTCTGGTGACTGAGGTTATTCAACTCGAACCAAGTAAACAATTTAGTTCAGTTACTGGTCTTAAACCCAAGAGAAAAAAAACAAAGCATGGAGAAACAACTCAGGGTGCTCACAAAAGCACACATATATATGATACTCCCGAAAACTAAAACGAACATATAAATATGGTGTGAATCTAAATTAATTCATCATTTGGCACCTCCAAGATTGCCAACATAAGGGGCAACTCTGGATGCCGAAATTGTCTTCACAGCAATATACATCCTCTGAATAGATATAAGTATAGAGATTTCTATCAGAGGGTGGTTGGTACTTCCAATCTTTTTATTTGTTATCTTTCCCTCTTTTATGATCTGACAATCACAATCCCATTCGATCCAAAAGTTGTCATTTACCTGCACTCTCATGCTCAGGAACTTGATAACTATCGGTGGAGGGAGATCCTTTGGCTGTAGGGAGGTAAGACCATGCCAAGGCTGCAGTTCCAAGGGTAATTGTGGCAACAATTGAACCCCAAACCCACCTCTGTCGTCTTTTCCTTCTTTGCCTCTCGCGTCGTGACATCTCTACAGAATCAACAATAAAACCCAAAATTAGAGGTTATGCTTAAGAGTAAATTACTGATAACCCCAAGACGAAACTTATTATTTACTAGCAGAAACACATGTTTGCAAATTTTCAAAGAGATGGAAAAAGGAACATTTGACCTTAGAACAAAAACCTAATATAATAAAATTGTATGGTGTACATGCCATTTTAACAAGCACGTCTCATAAATTTCATATAAATCAAAGGGATAACAAGCCTGGGAAGACTGGAATATAAGACAGACATGCTTGCAAGTTCAGAAAAGGTTAAATTGGAGAGGAATTCAAAGTAGACAGAGGAGTAGCTAAGAACTTTCAAAAAAAAAAAAAACAAAAAGACAAATGGAACCTCCAGGGAAAGAAATCTCACCTACAGCTTCCTGGTTCCGGTGAGACATTTCTCGGTTTACAGCCTCATAATAGTGAAGTCGATCCGACAATCGTGCTATTTCAAAGTTCTTTGATTCAATCTGAGCTTCCATCTCCATCCCCAGCTCAGCCTTTGCAATCCCCCTGCCAATAGAATCTGATACAAATCGAGCAATATTAAATTGTCGTGACAGTTCTTCTGCAAGATCAACACCAAGTTCCTCGCCCTCTGCTGCAACAGTGGGATATGCAGGGAGCGTCAATCCATGTCTAGCTAACTGCTTCCTGATACTCTCCCAATGACTTCGCATGTGATTCAGAGTATCCTCTGCTTGCTTCCTCTTCTCTATCTCCATTAATAAACTCAATCTTATTTCACGCAATTCAAATTCAATGTCGGGAACAGAAGCCTGCATTCCACTCTCTGAGGACAACTCTGCAAGAAGAAACAAAAATGAGCTTCCAACTGCAATAAAAAATCTAAACTAAAACTTAATAGCATCCAAGACATCCATTATTAGTTAAGTGGCTTCTAGGGAAGTACAGCAACTCTTATATAATTTAAATCCTCAATCCAAAATTCAGGATTTTTGCACAAATATCGGAACAAGCAACTATCATTGCAATTGGATGAAAGACATTCAGCAAGGGGTTACATGGATGCATGCATATCTGGTCCACATATTCCAGAATTTAAACAACTAAAGCACCTGAAATGCAAAGTTGAAGTACCTTCCCAAGCATCATAAAACTCCCCAGCTGGTGCAGCAGTCTTTACAGCACTTACAAGGCCAGCGCAATCCTCTCCCTCTGTATTACTTGTGAGACTCATTGATTCTTGAGGATCATAGAAATCTTCAGACTCAACTTCTTTATCAGAGTTCACGGGAACAAGCTTTACTGTACTTTCCTTCATAAAATCATTACTCAGGTTGCTGCTTTCAGGTCCCCTATTGCCGCATTCTACCTCCATTTGACCCTTTGCAAGCTCCACATGATCATCATGGACACCATCAACAGATATAGATTGAACACCGTTCCCATTGACATGCTCCTCCATGATAGTCTCAGCAACAGGAAAAACAGCAGAATTTGATTTAGTTAAATCGGCAGCCCTGGCTTCAGTATCTTCTGTCTTCCCATTGGCTTTTTCTTCTTTCAGGGTTTTTTTCCGCTCAGATACATCATCCACAGATAAGCTCTTTAGAAGGCGTGGCCCACGCCGCTTGTGATTAACAATGTAAGGAGAAGGAGGGAAGGATGATGGTGAATCAGGAAGCGGAGTCGCCTTGGGGGTTGCATAAAGTGCTGGTGATATTTGAGGGCGAGGGACTTTCCTCTCTCTAGTAGATTTACCATTTACCTTTTCCAGCTTTGAATTAGGAGGTTTCACATGAGGAGGTCTCGAATCAGGAGTAGACTTGTTGATAGATTTGGAAGCTCCAGGTTCTAACAACCTATCCAATGCTATAGCAGTAAATGTGGGCATAATTCTGCACATTCACAGAGTGAAACAAACAATTATATTAGAGTCAAAAAAACGGGGAAGGGAAAACAAGGAAAGACTTCAAAACTTCATGATAGTTAAAAAATTAACACATTCCTAATGCTCATAGAGAGAATAGATCATTGCTCACTGAGAGGTTTGATAAGAAAAGATGGAGAAGAATGAAACTCAATAAGTTCCCAATAATTTCTTCTTTCAATCAAGGAGAGGAATAGTGCATGATGTAGCTTAAAGCTCGCAAAATTATTCACATCTACTTCGGCAAAACTTTGAATGAAAAAGAATTCAACTAAATACATGTCATATGTGCTACATCTATTCACCGATCTAATAGTTAAAAAGGATATATCTAAATCAAACCCTCAATCTGAAGTACTCCCAAAACAACTGAAAACAACAAGTAGCTCTCACAAGCAGCCAAGACGATTTATTTAAGAAAAACAAAAGAGAGAAAAAGCAACAAAGTAGGAAACTCTGGGCCCCTCGAGCATAATATGTCAACCATTTAGCAAAATTTCTCCGATTCTCGAACACCAAAGAAAGTGCTAAATATCTACAGCTACCATCAAAAACCACAAAAAAAAATGAAACCCTAATCCCAAAGCTTTTAAATCAATCCCCAGAAAAAAGCTAAAAAAAAGCCTAGAATCAACATAGAACTAAACGCTATGGTAATTCCTCGTCGCCGTCAAATACAAAAGAAATTAGCAAACAAAATCCGATAAACAATATTATATAGCTCAAGCGTTCCGTGCAAACTATGACTAAACTAAAGAAGCTGTTGAAATAATTTATTCGGTACACTAGAAAAAGAAGATCGAAAATGAACATCCACCTTTGCTGTAAATTTACTCAGCAAACAAACGGTTCAAACAGGAGCTAAAATGAGAAGGATACATAACATAATAAAAATAATAATAATCAGAATAAAAGTAATAAACCGAATAGAAAACGGAAGAGGAAAAAACATAAATGAAAAGCTGAAAAGAAATAATAATGAATGCGTGATAATTACGCACGGTAGAAACCTAGCGCTGGATACAGAGAAGAAGTTCGGTTGCTGAAGAAAATTCCAGACAACAGCGGGTGCAGAGGAGGATGAAGAATCAGGATGAGTCGGCGAGTAAGGGGGAGGAGGAGAACCAAAAACGGCAACGTATTAAGGGTTTGTTGAGTTGGTCGTTTTCTCCCAGAGCTTTTGGAAAAAAAAGAGGGAAACCCCTCCCCCAAGCATTTTATTGCAACGACCGCCTGCCTCTCTGTGTTCTCTCTCCGCAAATATTTGAATTCCACTTCTCCGAATTTATTATTTATTTTTATTTAATACGAAGAGCGCGTCTCGTGGCAAGCACGTGGTATTTGGTAAGAACCGCAGCGAGAGGGCTTTGCCAATTACCGGCCCAACTGCTAAATCATGAAAAGACGAAAATACCATCGTGAGAGCTGCACAAACACAAAAAAACCGGGATGTGACACGAGGATGACGTGGGGGGTTTCTTGTCTTATACCAGGAATCTGTTGGGCTGTCTGGGGTGTGCGCTCGGAGTCGAAAGGACAGCGCTTTCGTTGGTTTCCAATTAGAGGGCATTAGAAATGGAATTACTTTTCTTTTTACCATTCTAAATAATTCCATTTAGGTTATCCAAAAAAATAGCCAAATGGTATATGAACTTTTGCCTTCTTAACATGATTACATTTAGTTTTAAAAAAAAATCCATCCACTATTGTTTTTTAAGTAAATATTATAATTTAATTTATTAGGATAATAAATAAAAACAACTAGCTCAATTTCACAATATAATTTTATTTTATTTTAAATCTTATATTTTTAAAACATATTTAATTAGTTACTTTCTGTTATTAATATATAATATTATTAACTTATGTGTTATATGTAAAATTTATTGACACATAATACATTTTGATAAATTATTAATTCACATCAAACATAACATAATAACGATAGTTAATATAATAATTAGTTTAATTTAAATAGTTTTAAATTAATCTAAATAAAAAAAAAAATATATATATATATATATATGTATTTTTTCTAAATTCCCAAAACTCCTGACTGTAACCTTCTTTCTCCCCGTCCCCCCTCCCTTCTTCTTCCTCCCACACTCGTCCATGTCCTTCTGCGTACATCCTTCCTCCATCATCTCTCTCTCTCTCTCTCTGCA